CAGGGACAGAGCTGGACTGAAAAACATTTCCTATCTTTGACCAGCCAACCACAACTGGTGCGCAGACACTCAGCAACCTCGATAGCCGATAATACCGCTGAAGTGACTAAAAGTCAAGATATTGTGGAAATAGCATCAAAGTGTAATGAGCTACAGTATGCAGGGCTGATTGTGGCCCTCTGGGGCTCATGTGGAACTTGCTAATGGAGCTCATGAACTCTTTAAATTCAAGAATCACCCACCAAATATACACTTTCCACTGTTTGTAAAACTGGTGTACAGCATTCAGGTTTTGACCCTATCTGGACAGATGATCTTATCACCTAAAAAAATGGCACATAACATTTGTACATTAGCAAAACACTGCATTCTTTGTGATCTCTGCTTTTCCCATATTTTATGTATAATTACTGAAGTCTGCCTATTCAAGAGTGCAATGCTGCTCCAGTTTCTTCTTCAATGAATATTATAAAATTAAATAACCCAGCCTGGTATCCTAGAAATTAACTTCATATTAGACCTTACAGTTTGCCAACATTCAGTTCTAATGCAGGAAGTAGTGTATTGTTTATATAGAGAGGGTGCGAGTAAGGGCGTGGATGGGCATGAAGGCTAATGTATATCATGAGACCAGGGCTGCACGATTTTGTGGACAATATTGCGATTTGCAATTGTGATTCGATTATAATGAAACAAATGGTACTCTGAGTCTACTTGCTTAATTATCAAGGAAAATGCACAAAATACATTTGGAAATGTGTATTTCTCAACTTGAACAAAGTTAGACAATAAACAATATATATAATCATAACTAGTAAAACAGATGTAAAACAGAACAAGGGGAGCATGTTGCTCTATGGAGGAGGCGGTTAGAAGGAGAAAATATTGGCACACTGGCATCGTGACTCTGGCTAAATCTACATCTGTCCACTGCAAAGTCTCTATCCACAACCTGGAGCATGAACTGCACATGAGTGTATTAAATAAAAAGTATAATGTTTAATTAATGGTATACTGTTAGTATAACAATAATATATTAAATACTACATTCATTATAATTTCATTTAATAGTATACTATTTTACTATTAGTTGAATATTAAATCCAGTTACAGCTTCATTTCTGTGGGTTGTTTTTATTTATTTAATCTACATCTGTCTCTAATTTGTTAATATAAGTACTAACTTGTCAATAACCATATTGTTCAAAATTTGAAAGTTTGCTGTAGCATGTCAAACTTTTTTTAATTTCCCGCCCCATCCAGGCTGTGATTGGTCGGTTGACAAAAAGTGACTGACAAGCACGTCTGATTTGTGAAAAGTCGAACAACAAAAGGCACCAACACAGCTAACTTCAGACAGCCAGCGAGCCAAACTCCAACCTTCCTTATATTCTCCCTGTTTTCTTCTGTCTTCCGCTTCAGCTGCTGCCGACATCGCTCTGTCTCTGTCACAGAGCGACCGGAGCACTGGCATTTCTCTCTGTGCTCCGGTGACGAGTCCGGCTATGTTTTCAACGATTAGCGGCGGGGTGGGGAGGGGGTTATAGTAGGTTGTTGTCTTAAAAGTTACTCTCATACTGCTCATAAGTTATTTTTCTCATTACACTTAGGCTTATCTGTTTTTAGGAGCACATGCAAGAGCATGCGGTGTGGGTGGATATAATGAGCAGACTGCAGCACACACAGAAAAGACTGTAACCCACACTTTTTCTGTTTTATTAAATCGCACACTTTTTGCAGTTATGTAATCGCACATGATGACATCGCGATTGCGATTGCAATTAGATTAATCGTGCAGCCCAACATGAGACTTCACACATGTGACAGAACTCACAATCACATGACGGAAGTCTATGAGACTATTTAACTTAAAACTCAAAATAACTGCCCATTTACTTGGTTTCACATGGTGCTCAAACGCCATTCTACTGTGTGGAAGTCCTGGGTTTGACGCCAGACTCACACAGTGGGTCCCACATTATGGTTATTCATTCCCACCTCAGCTTACACTGGAAGTGTTTCCGAAGCGTTTCAGTGTTTAGCCTGCCCACGTTGTTGACTTATTGTTTATTTGTCATTTTGTGCGCTTCTGCTCTTTTTTTTCCCGTTCCCTGCAGGGCTACATATTCCCCAAGGATCATTTCAGAATAAAAGCGTTTTGCCTGCCTGATTTTGCTGACTTGTTCAGCTTTTGTTGATTTGTTCAGTGGTCCTTGATTTTTGTGCTTATACCATGGTTCTGTCTATCTGCACAGGGTATTTTATTTTGAAAATTGACCGGATTCTCAATACTTCTGGGATGTACTGCGGCGCTTCTGGTGTGAGCACAAGCATTGACTGGAATGGCAGCGATTAGCTCCAGCAGCTGCGGTGCAGCCGTAACGCAGCACACATGCCGCCTGTGTGAGTCAGGCGTGACCCATCCATCCATCCATATATCCATCGCTATTTATAATACGTCACAATGCTTCCTCCTCCTTTGCTACTGTTGTAAGGCCACTAGAGGTCGCTGCCATAGTTAATGTAAGAATGGGTCGTAATAATGTGCTGAACAAACGACCTATTTATCATTTTTCTGGGGAGGACAGTCTGTGAATGTCTCTGGCTACTGTGATTTAGGTTAGTTAGGTTTCTGTGTGTGTTTGGTTGGGTGTGTGTGCGTGCGTGAGTGAGTGAGTGAGAGAGAGAGAGACAGCTATTATTAAATTAAGGCTAAATGCGTTTTGGTTTTGTAACTTTTCAACTTTCCATCCCAATCCACTCTGGCCGGGCCCACACACATAAAAAAGAACAGGCAAACTCCGAGTGGGAATCCTCCCACTCTTGCACTGGCATTCAAGTACTTTTCGGAACAAGTTATGAAAACTAAGCAGTATGCAGACAAGATAATTATATACATATATATCAATATTTTATTTCACTTACTATCCAACATGACTTTGTTAATAATATATAAATAAAATGCTTTACAAATCAGTAATAATCAAGTATTTCTCAAAAGATACTTATAATAAAAATAAAATTTTATAATGAATAAATAATTCATTTGGGTTGCCACATTTTGAGCCTAAATTTAAGAGAAGGCTCCCTCTGGTTGGTGCGGTATTAATAAAGTCATAAAGTTGTTAACAAGTTATGCAACTTTTAGAAGTTTGCCTAACTGTGAAGTGGTAACCAGGTAATTTTTCACCCCTGAAACTTTTCAATCTGACTAAGAGATGACAATCCTCCATTCTGCCTGTATCACATTCTATAGCATGCCAGGCTATGTGGAGTAATTCCAAATGTCCTGATGGCCAGTCTGACAGTATGTGAGCATGTGTAGGTATCCTCTACAGTATAAGCCTGTCAGTGTGCGTGTCTCATAGAGACAACCTAGAACCTCTCGGTGAAAGCAATCAGATGGCTGGAGAGTTATAATATCCTCTGAGACGCTGCACACCAGGTGGTTGACTGACAGGATAGAATCTGTCTTTTTTCCCCCTCCTCTCCACTTTCACCTGCAAACATTAAGAGCCTGACCAGATTCAGTGAGCTATGCATCAATCTTTGGCTTGCCTGTATATTTGTGGTGGAAAGAGCCACTTGCCTTTTTTTTTAACAATTTTTTCTTTTTTCATACAGATTTTTTTTTTTGTTTTCCCAACAACTTCACTCCATTTGGTTATAATAGAAGATTGATGATTCTCACATCTGTCTGTCAAATATGAAGCTACAGACAGGAGAGCTTAGCTTAAAGACTGAAAACAGGAGGTTAACCCGGCTCTGTACAAATGTAAAAAAAAAAAAGAAAGAAAAAAGATTCCACGCATCAGCACATTTAAAGTTTCCTAATTAAGACGCTGTATCTTGTTTTTTTATTCCATACAAAAACTAAAGTGTAAAAAGAGTAACAGTTTACTGTTTTTTGCGGGGTCAAGACTAGGCCTATATCTTGGTTGAGTGCAGAGAATTCCTTGTGTCTTGTTGTGAAAGCAACAGCAAAGAACATGCTTAGTGGTTATTGAAAAGTAATTTCAGACACAGTTTTGGCTACTCTATCCCCCTGCAAATAAGTGTTTAGATAATATGGCTAAACTGGCCATTTATTTTGAATCTATCAGATACTGCTCTTGTTGCTAATGGAACCAGGTTTTTGGAGGCCACCACATTCACAGATCTCAGCAATGACAATTTTCAATAAATGTTATCAAATGGAAGGATAGACAAAAACTACAAAAGTAAAACAGGTAGTTTCCATTGAATACAGTACACTCAGTATTTCTCCATCATGCAGACATAAATGTGGTGTCAGACAATGACTAAGATATCTGTCTTCTAGTGGTCATAGCCAAGTGAGAAAATGTGTTACATACACCTTTTGATCGGTAGGTAAACTGTGAGGATGAAAACACAAGATTTAGTTATTCCAACATTTCACAGCTTTGCATGACACATGATGCAAAAACACCCAAAAATCCACAATCTCACAGGCAAATAATAAACCTGAGCCCCTCAAAATAACAACAGGCAACCTCACTCAAAACACACATTCACCAACAAACAAGTTTTCCCAAGTGCAGAACTGCTCACATTTAGCGAAAAAGGTGCACTTGCTCTTTTTCTGGGTTGAGTCTGCAGCCTGTTGTTATTCCTGGTGCTCTGCAGTGCCATACTCAAACACTGCATCCCATTTAAGTGCTGCTATGCCACCCAAAACCACACACTCTCTAGGCAACTGTCACAGTTCATTCATGTTAATATTACAAGTCATTTTGTATTCTGCCACAGCAGCTTACAGCTAATTATATGTCTCATAAATCATATATGTCCTCTTGGCTGAAAGGAAATAATTAGCATTTCATTTACTGTTCCTCACCTAATAAAATCACTTTACAAAGTTGATGCATTTACAGGGTCTCCCATTATGTGTCCATCGCCTTCCATACCCATAATTCTTGTTCAGCTTTATGAACACCAGTGCTCATTTACATTAGCATAGGTTTGTCATGGGGTCTTACCTGTGCACAGGAGAAGCGCGGTGAGTCCCACTCGCCGGAGCGGCCCCGTCTCTCGTCGTGGACTCATGTTTATTCTGGGGAAGCCGCTGGATGACTCCCTCAGCAGAAAGCCGCACAACTCTGCACGCAATTTATCCTCTCTGAGCAGTTCTCCATTTAAAACAAAACAGTTGTATTCCGTGCGACACCACCTGCCATCACAGACACGAATGCACGGTAAGTATCACCTACCACACGCAGTAACAGAGTAGCCTAGGCTATAGGCAAACAAGGGAAAGAGAAGTCCACATGTGTCGTTTTTACTCCAAAAAAATTGTTAATTTATAAAGCAAGTGTAATGAATCAACTTCTCGCATTACTGCTGAGCTAATTTATGAGGATAAAACAGATGCTGAACAAACCGTCTGTCACCAATGTCACCAATCACACCCTACAACACCAAAGATTTTTCACATTTGACACATTTGTGCTGAACGTGTCAGGATTTATTCTCTCTCTCTCTCTCTCTCTCTTTCTCTTTCTCTCTCTCTCTCTCTCTCTCTCTCTCTCTCTCTCTCTCTGGGCTTTGGAAAACAAACACTCGTAAAACAACCACTATGCGACAAAAAGCAACAGAAACGTCTTTAAATGGAAATAAGAGTTAAGTCTGTGAAACTGATGCATTTGTTTTTTTTTTGTTATTGTTGTTGTTTTTGCTCCTTACCATTTGTCTTACTGCACAAGAACACGGCGCCGCGGTCTCATCCAACACTGACATGTGACATTAAAATGCACCCGTCTCTTCTCGTCAGGCTGCAATAATTTCATCAGCGATAAGAGCAAAAAAAGTCCTCAACAACCTCTGTTTTCCAAAGAGATCTCATGACACGCTCAGCTATTTCATTTTCCTCTTCTTCTTTTTCATGTAGTGCAGCGGTCCAATACACCTAGACGCGGCGAGTGACTTGCAAGTAGTCTACACGCGATATCTCGCAATAATAATAGTCCTCCAACTTTCCACGCGACGAAGAAGCGTGTACAGATCACTGGCGGCAGTGAAGTGGATCCCGGGCTGTTGGCGCTGTACCCTGTGGGCTGTGGACCGGAGAGTGCTGGTGCAGAAACTGAGGGGGAGGAATGGGACGCGCTCCCCGGGCTGGATTGGCAAATTAGAGGGTCTGAGGGCGTCACGTCAGCAAGTAGTGTGCCGTCCAATTCCTGGCTCATATCACATGGAGATTGCGCTTTTTTTTGGTTTTGTCCCAAAACCGTTGGAAAAAAAGAAAGTTGATTGGAGTCTCAGCATCTCACAATGGAATATGTTTAATTACATTTTCGCTTGAATAGGCTGGGATTATAGGAAAACGATAATCACAAATGAAACAGTAAAAACACTGCAGATATGCGTTTTTATGCTTTATCAGGTGTAGTCATATATCTTGTCATATAGGCTACACATATAGGAAACAGAAATCTGAGGTTTAAAATAGATTGGAAGATCGTTGTGATTAAATGGCTCAGTAGTCAGGTTAAAGTGGTTAACAATGACACAAAACGGCGTACAATAGAATTTAATTTTAACACTCCCATAACCTGGAGGGATCATTAGTGTCCACTCAGTGAGGAGAGGAATAGAGTAGTGCAACCTGTTGTGCCAAGGGTCGTTCATGAGAAGCAACACTGCCCCCTACAGGGCACCTTTGACTGCACGCTGCTTCCCTCGTGAGCTTCCTGACTCATACCTCAGAATTGAAAAGGTGCTGCATGAATGTTTTCTTCAGCTTAACAGCAGACTGAACATGTAGGATGTAAGGAGCAATCACCCCTTACTTGGCATCAAGAGCAATTTATACCACTGTCTATCAAATATATATGCTGGGGTAAACAAAAACAAACACCTCTAAAACGAATGTCTCTTTGTTAGGTTTATTGAAATCTTTCAACAGTTTCTCAAAAGTAAAGGAAAATATTTAACAGGAAAAAACACACAATAATCCTCACTTTTTACAGTATACTGTAAATGTACTAATATATATATATGGATCTCCAGCAATTTAGTATTGCACTTCCATAAAGTTGGAGGACTCACCAAAGACAGATTGTATAAGTAACGGTGAAAAGGTGAAGCAACAGAGGTCAAGATATCCTGACTTTTATCTCCAGTATTTGACAGTGGATCCTACTAATTCCATAACCCTCCCTGCCTGCTAAAGGCCCACTGCTTTCAAACCCTACACCTCCAGCTTTATAATTTATTCCATTCATCCAGCCGTCCATCTATCCCTGCTGTAGAGAACAAGGGAACACAGCTGGTTTTGCTTCCTCTGGAGTCTGCCCCCTGCTGGGTGAAAGGCCCAACCTGCCAGTGTATGCGCTCACTATTCCCCAATAGAAGAGTGAACATGCCGTAATGGGACATAAAAAACAGTGACGGGTTGCAAGGCAGCCAGAGGAGCCACCCTGCAGCTGAGGCCTCTCCACAACAGTGCTAAACACCAATTACAGGCCATCAGCAGAGAAGTGGAGGGACCCTGTGGGTTTGGAAGAGAGGAGCTTGCTCCTCCATCGTCTCCTCCACTTCCTGCTGTCTGCTCCACCAGCACCATTCACGTACAATGAGAATGTAAAGGAGAAATAAAAATTCAGAATTTCCGTTATGTGAATTTCTGTTTTATATACAGTTCTGACTTCCATGATGACAACAGACTTCAGCTGCTTTCTGGATCTCGGCCTGTCACATTTCCCTCAAGCACAAAATCCAAACACATAATTATCATGTTTCCTGCATGTTATTTATGGAGCCCAATATGTGTCCTGCGGTATGTTATTAGTAAAGAGTTGACGTCTGGATAATGCTAAATGGATGCTTTAAGTGACAGGTGGTTAATAACATTCATGTTAAGACAGTAGCAATCAAAACAGTGTCACCAGCTGAAAATACATTTCTTTAAACAGTTTCTTACATCAGCATCTCATTATGCTATCAACCTCTACTTCTGCCCACTTTAATTCTCTTAAAAATGCTTTTCCCCCTTTACTTCCATTTCTTTTCACATAGCTTCTCTCTTAATTGTTCATTTTATAGTATAGAAATAGTCTGAGGAAACCGTGGCTCCGACCTTTACAATCCTCTCCGGCTGCTTGTAATGTTGGCAATCTAAGAATTTAAGTTTATTGCTGTCAGTGTAAGTTCAACTGATGAGAACAGCTGCATGACTAAAATACAAAATGTTAAATGTCTGTCTTCAGCAACAGTGAACAAGCATGTTATCAAATGTTTTCTCCTTCTCCTTTGAAATCAGGAAGATACTTTATATTTTGCAAATATCCAGGACCCTTTTTACCCATTTTATTAATTTTTTCAAAAGTCATTTTTAATTCCCTGCATCGTTTGTCCAGTTCAGATTTCACCTACAGTATTGCAGTAAAAGACATGAACATACTGTACACACTGTCTTAGAAGCTACAAAGGATTTCCCAGGACTGAAGTCATTCTGTAGCCTGTTTCACCTAATAGTTCAGCACTGTAAGTGTTTAATAAGCTACTGATGAAAGAGGCAAAAATAGACTTAAAACAGATTATCTGATAGCAGTGATAGAGGAGGGGAAAAATTCTGAGTGACGCTGCACAGAGTCAGACACACATCCATGCTGTGAAGTCTTCGTCTCCCTCCTGGTGTGCAGAGTCCCGGGGGAAGTCACTTGTTGGCTCTGAGCGTCTCCTGCTTTCGTTCTGGGACGGGTTGTTGCAGCTGCGTGCTTCTCGGCTGCCGCTCTCGCTCCCTTAATTGCATATGGGGCAGAGCCCTTTAGATTGTGATGTTCAGTGTCATGCAAGAGGCACAGCCGGAGAGCTGGACTGGTGTCATAAGTGACTTTCCAACAGTAGAGTCACTCATGGAAGATCAAAGTCAAGAGTTACATACGTGGTTATAAGTGCAGCAATGAGTCTTTGGTTCATGCTAACTAATTCACACACACACACAGTCTGGATTCAAGTATTTTCTTCCTTCAAAGAGGCTGCAGAGGGCAAGCTGATGTCTTCTCTCTCAGACGCTGCAGTTTTGCATTTGTACGGGCTTTGCATGGAAACCTAATATCACAACTAACAAGAACCCTTTACTGAGCCACTACCGTGTCATTTTAGTCTCCAATAATATACTTTCAGGTTTGTGTTAAACATTTAAAGCTTCACCAATAAATAAAAAACAAACAGATTTTAGATTTAAAGCAACTATAACCAATATTCTTATAAAAACAATGGATCAGGTGACTGTGGGTAATGTGAAAGGGGACGCTCGTTGTGATAAACCCATAGAGGATTATCACCCCAACTCTGCTGTTTTGCTCAGCTCCACGGAGCCCTTCTGCGCCTTTTATGTCACCGTTTTGGCTCTGTAGCACCATTTTTGGCTGCAGCTGTTTTCAGTGGATAAGCTCTAAGAACACACTATACTACCTGCTCAGCATCAAACGACACAGTCTCCGTGCACTGGGTGCCTGGTGTTGCCCCTTTGCTCATTCATTGCTGTCTAAGTCCAGGAAAACTGCAAATAAATTCAAATGTTCTCTCAGGTTTGTGACCAAAAGAAAGTGGCTTTGATCGGCATTGTACACAGACTGGCCAAAGCTGTTTAAATCTTTGCACAACTCTAGACATCATCCCCTGCAGCTGGACTAGAGCATCATGTGGTAAACTAAAGTTTTAACAAAAGTCCTTTGGCATGCTTGTTTCTGATTTACATTTTTGCAAGTTAAGCCTGGCCAGTGTGGTTCTTCAGTGTGCTCCCATCGCTCCTCCATCTAGTGTGCAAACCTCAGTTCGCAGTGAGAATAGAAGCGTTTGCTTGCAGCCCCATATTTGACAGCATTCAATACAAACATACCATCTGTCTTCCGTATACTGTTGGCATTTCAAGTAAAGAGACTGTGCACTGAGATCTTTTCGTTAACAGCTGATGTGGTATTTCCTCGGTTGACGTTCACTAAGTGATGTTGTCAGATAACCTTGTCTGGTCATTTATGCAGCTGTGGGACGAACAGAAGAATCTTCACCAGCAGCACGTGGTTATGTGGAAGGAATTCTTAAATGAGTGTGAAGTATTGATCACATTCTATAGGTCTTTATAAATGTTAAATTGAGCAGGAGATCCAGCTGCAGTGTTAAGTTTTTACAACAAAAGATTTCACAGTTAAACAGTTTTCTTCATAATGCAATCGATGTTGATCTCACCTATGCAACGAGTAAAAGAGAGAGCAGAGGAATGAGTCAGTAGACACAACATTGACATTATTAAATCTTTTCCCCCATCCCATGTCTCCCTCATACACACACACACACATAGACACGTGTTATTTAAGGCTCAGATAATGACCTGATTACAGATTTAAAAAGAAAATTGTTTTATGCCCTTTCCGCAGCAGGAGCAACACAAACAAAACAATATCATAATGTGCTGATGAATGAGAGTAGAAAGGCAGACGCACAATGACAACAATATGTTATGAATAAAAGATCAGGTGCTGCTGTGAAATACGTCTTCCTTCACAATGTGATACACCTTTAAGATATTCCTAAGCGCACATGAAGGACCTATGAGGTCAGACACTGAAGTCTACTGAGAAACAGGGACAGCTGGAGAGGACCATTAATGATGATAACATGTTGTCATGCTCACTGAACACCACCGCCAGTACTCTGTTTTCCGAAGGATACGGTGTCTGACTTGGCAGAAAGAATCCTGCATATCGTGGCTGAACATCCTACTGTGAAAAACATCATACTGCACATCGGGGCCAATGATGTTGTGAAGCAACAGTCTGAAGTGTTGAAAGAGGACTTTAATAATCTGTTGAACACGGTCAGCTCTTTGAATGCTGAGGTGTTTATCAGTGGCCTTATACCGCCAATCCGAAGAGGAGCTGAGAGATTTAGCGGACTGATGGCATTGAACACGTGGCTCTCAACGGCATGTACTGTCCATTCAGTGCATTTCATCGAAAACTTTTACTTTCTGTGGGACCGCAGACATCTTTTTAAGGCAGATGGACTTCGCCTTAACAAGTCAGGAGTACAATTGTTCAGCTCCAACCTGTTTTACTTTCTGCGTCACTCATCTGTTCCCTCTGCCAAGGA